CGCTCAGGCTGGTCTTGAACTCCTGGGCTTAAGCGATCCTCCTGCCTCAGCCTCCCAAAGTGCTGGGATTACAGGCATGAACCACTGCATTCAACCCTAATACTTTCTTTTTTTTTTTTTTTGAGACAGGGTCTCACTCTGTAGCCCAGGCTGGAGCACAGTGGCATCATGTCAGCTCACTGCAACCTCCACCTCCTGGGTTAAAGCAATTCTCCCACCTCAGCCTCCCAAGTAAATGGGATTACAGGTGTGCGCCACCATGCCCAGCTAATTTTTTTAAATTTATTTTTTATTTATTTTTTTGAGACAGAGTCTTGCTCTGTCACCCAGGCTGGACTACAATGGTGCCATCTTGGCTCACTGCAACCTCTGTCTCCTGGGTTCAAGCGATTGTCCCTGCCTCAGCCTCTCAAGTAGCTGGGATTACAGGTGCCCACTACCATGCCCAGCTAATTTTTGTATTTTTAGTAGAGACAGGGTTTCGCCATGTTGGCCAGGCTGGTCTGGAACTCCTGACCTCAGGTGATCCGCCCGCCTCGGCCTCCCAAAGTGCTGGGACTACAGGCATGGGCCACCACGCCCAGCCAATTTTTTGTATTTTTAGTAAAGACGGGGTTTTGCCATGTTGGCCAGGCTGGTCTAGAACTTCTGGCCTCAAGCAATCCTCCTGCCTTGGCCTCTCAAAGTGCTGGGATTACAGGCGTGAGCCACCACGCCCGGCCTGGCCCTAATACATTTTCAAGTGAGAGACAGATGGAGAGAGAGAGAGAGTCTGTATGTGCATATATATATATTTTAAAAGGACACAATTTCCGATTCTGGGGGACATGAAATGCGCGCCACCCCCCTTATCACCCCCAGTGAAAGTAGCTGTAATACATGCATAAAACACACGGGGCAGCTATTCAAGGACTCAGAAAGTTATCCAGTAGTAGGCAAGTTGGGGGAAAAGACTAGAATCCTAAATACCACCAAACCAGTATCTCCTGGCCTGGTCTTAAGGCAACCTGAAGGCTGAAGGTGGGCAGCAGATGGGAGAAGAGTGAGCTGGGAGGGGAGTGGGAAAGGGGCTCCTAGCACTCGGAGTGGGGGTGCCTCTGTGGGGTTTTTCTTTCCTCTGTTTTCTCACACTCCTGCCTCCAGGCAGTCCTGCGTTGGCTGTGGTGGCACGGCTGTGTCAAAGGGGCCTGCAGGTACCTGAAACACTGAAAGAGGGGACCCTTCTCCAGTCCCAAGAGAACAGGGCAAAGCCCGGTCAATCCTTCCTCTCTTGTCCTCCCACCACTTGACCCTGGTCATGGGTGCAGTCTCAGGAAGTGAGTGGCAGAGCAGGATAAATCAAACCTCAGCTTCCTGGCCAAAATACCAAAAAGAGGAGCACCGGGGAACTAGGAATTACTGGGAGATGCCAGAGAGGGGAGCTCAGGGAAGTCACTAAACACAGCATGTGATGAGATCAAAGGCTCACCCCCAAGCTGTGCGCGTGTGGGCCTGACCCTAAACGGCATTTCAGAGACACTGAGATGTGAACTGTGGCCAGCTCACTGCCAAGTCCCCAGGTGCCCCTGGGTGATACGCGCGCAGCACAGTGCTGCACGGTCAGTCACTGCACGGCACTGCAAAGGGGCTGAACACAGGACTGACACGGAAACCACACCCTGAGAAGCCTGGTTGGAACGTGCAACCTGAACCCAACTGAATCAGTCATCTCCTTAGGCCAAAAAATGACATTTGCCATAGGATTTAAACAAGACCCAGAGCCTCATAACAATATTTAAAATGTCCAGGATACAAAAGTACTTAGCGCAGGGAGAACCAGGAACATCTCTACTCACATGAGAGCAGATACAGATGTCACCACCACATAACTCAGATGTTGGAATTAGCGGATGAAGACTCAAAAGCGGCTATTACAAGAAAGTTCCAACTGGTAAACACATGGAAAGATAGAGTCTCAGCAAAGACACAGAAGGCAGAAAGAATCGACGCAATAAAAAATTCACAGGACAAGCTCAATAGTGGAATAAAAAAATAAAGGGAAGATTCAGTGACCCTGACAATAGTTCAATACAAATTATCACATCTGATTGACAGTGAGTAAAAACAACAGGGGCTGGGCGTGGTGGCTCATGGCTGTAATCTCAGCACTTTGGGAGGCCGAGGCGGGCGGATCACTTCAGGTCAGCCTGGCCAACATGATGAAATCCTGTCTCTATTAAAAATATAAAACTTAGGCCAGGCGCAGTGGCTCACGCCAGTAATCCCAGCACTTTGGGAGGTCGAGGCGGGCGGATCACGAGGTCAGGAGATCAAGACCATCCTGGCTAACACGGTGAAACCTCATCTCTACTAAAAAATACAAAAAATTAGCAGGCGATGGTGGCACAGGCCTGTGATCCCAGCTACTCAGGAGGATGAGGCAGGAGAATAGCTTGAACCTGGGAAGCGGAGGTTGCAGTGAGCTGAGATCGCGCTGTCCTCCTGAGCCCTCCCCTGCCCTCTCCACTCTCCTCGTGTCCCGGGAGGCCGGCCTCAGTGTATTGCTCACCTGGATTCCTGCCCTTTGGCTTCACTGGGTCTGGTGAAAGGACGGGAGGCGAGAGTCTGGGGTACCCCTAATTCTGTCTCCTGCTGATGCCAGTCCCTGGCGCCTCACCATCACTCGCCGATTGCCTTACCCTCCCATGCTTCTGGACTGTCCTGTCATTAAATGCTTTCCTGTGACCCCTCCGGGTGGGCTGGCTATTTCCTACGGGACCCTTGACCGATACAACGAATTCCACGCTCTTCCTTTTCCTTTGACAAAAGCAAAATCCATGTCTGCAGACTGACCTTCACGGAGCTGACGTTTGCCTGCCTTACCTTCTCTCACGCCTCTGGTCACCTCTGGTCTTGGAGATGAACACACGCCCTTCACCCTCCCCTTTATCTTGGCACTGAAGACCCCAGCTCACTGGAGTCCTACCCGCTTGACGCAATCCTCTTCAGCCAGGCGTTCCTGAATCAGTTGGACGAGCAGCGCGCTGGGAATTGTCTGAAGGAAAAAGGACACACAGAATGATGGCCCGAACCTGCATCCTGCAGCTCAGGACACAGACCAGCACACACCCCTCGCCAACGCCCTGGCCTCAGGAAAGCTCTGGCCACCATCGGGCCCCACCCTTCCTCCACCCACCGCACCCCCTTCCTTGAACTCTCTTCTACCCCCAGCATCTCTGAGGACCTCCCTCACACGTGTACTCACCTTATCCTGTGCCCAAGCCCCAACATGCCCTCGCCCACCTCCACCTGAATAACTCCTGGGCTCCCTCAGAGCCTCAGCCCCAACTGCCAGCCTGCAGGAAGCCCTGCCAGATCCTCCCAGGCCAGGCTGGTGCTACTTTCCGTGCTCCATCGTCCTGGATGGAGAACTCTGTCACTGCACTAACCACCACACATTCTAATGGCCCGCCCGTGTGGCTGTGTCCCCAGTAAGCTGTAAAGCTCTTCGAGGAAACGGACAGTGTCCTACTGACTCTGGACCCCAGACAGTGGCAGGTGGGAGGGGATTGGCTCCAAGACCCAGCAGAGGCGAGTGTGTCCATCTCTTCCCAAGTCCAGGTCAGTGACCTCATGTTGGTAACAAAATTGGCCACGGTGGGAGTGTCTACACCACAGAAATGGCAAAGGCTAGGTACAATAAGGACTCCCCGCCCTGCCCCCAGTGCTGGTTGTTAAATGTTGACCAGCAGACCACCACCCCAGCACCAAAGGGTATCAAGGATATAGGAAGCCCTGTCGGCCATAATGAAACTTCAAATTCCTTGATTCATTCAACAAGTAGCAGTCACGACGGCTAGCGTGTGTTAAGCATATGCTATGTGCCAGGCCCTGGGCCAAGCACTCCATCCTCCGCTCTGTAACAACTCTGTGCCATCTGTACCACTGTCACCCTTTTCACAGAGGAGGAAGCTGAGCCTCAGAGAGGTGAAGCCACTTCTCTAGGGTTACACCGCCAGGGAGCAGAAGGCAGGGCTTGAACTCATGCCAGTCTACCCAGAGCCAGGCATGGGAGTGACAGACAAGCCCAGATGGGTGAGCGAGGGAAAGAGGCTGGAGGCTGCCTTCCTTCTGCCTTCTCTCTTCCGAACTTTCTGACCAGCATCCATACTCCACTTTTTATAATCAAGTCTGATCTAACTTACAAAGCCTCAAACGCCCCAGGGCCAATGCCCCTGGAAAACCCACTCCCAAGAGTCCCCTTGCCCTGGGGTCACTGAGAGCTGGGAGTTCTTCCCAGTCCCCCAAACATTCTGCCATGGGAGACTCCCAGGCCAGCCCCAAACCACACATCTCAACATCAGGGCAAAACCAGCCTCCCAGGAATGGCAAGGAGGGGCTTCTGTCTGGGGCTGGCCATAGCCCTTGGCCACAGCTGGCTGCCCAGGTGTGCAGTTGGGTTCACACAAAAGTGCCCAGCTGAGGGGGTGAGGGCAGGGGAAATCCACCTTACACTCCTTTGTCCAAGCGGGAAGGTGCTGACGTGGGGCCAGGCAGCCCAGGTGGATGAGCACCTGTTCCTAATCTCTCAGGGTCCTGGGGCTGGTGGTGACCCTGGCAACATTCCAGTGAGCTAGACAAACATCTAGATCTTTACATTTAGAACCAACGTTTGTGAGGGCTCGGGGTGACCACCAGACCCTGCCTTTGGAATGCCATGGCATCTGCCTTGACTGCTGTTGGCGCACTTAAGGGGACAGAGAGCTAGGCCATCACAGAGCCACTCCAGCAGGCTGCGTGAACCCGCTGGGGCCTGCTGACTCGCAAGGGTACTTTCCTAAGGGCTCTGTGCATGGCAGAGCGTGTCCAGGCTTTGTTCTATTATGTCCTGGTGGTGAGGTGGGGAGAATGGATAGCCCTCAACCATCTCTAACTGGTGAGGTTTGCCATTTTTCTACCCCAAATTTAATATCGTCTGTGCTCAGTGAACTGGCTTAGGTCAGCCCAAACACTGAACAACTGACAGGAAGGACCTGGAGAGACAGCAGCTGGGTGGGGCGGACAGTCCCTGCAGGGGCTCAGTTCCTACACATTCAGATGCTCTCCTGGATTCTCATGAGGCAGCCTCCTTCCTGCCTTTTCCTTGGGCTATTTGAATGGGTTCCTGACAAGAGCAGGCTGGACCTGGGCATACGAGGGTAAAGGGAGGGGATGTCCTCAGGGACCCAGGCATTCAGGGTAACTGGCTTATGGTGGGAGTGGGAGGTGGGGGGAGGGGAGACAGGCCCTGGAGGGACAGCAGGGAGGGCAGGCATGGGATCCTGATTGGAGGAAGTTAATGACGGCTTCAAGAGGAGAACCGGGTGGAAGTGGGGGGAATCTGGCCCCAGGGAGGTCCTTTGGGGACTCAGCTGCCTGTGGTCTGCACCCTGGCTGCCCGCTGAGTGACCTGGATGAGTGGCTTTAATGCTCTAAGCCTCAGTTTCCTCATTTGTAAATGGGCCAAAGATAACATGTTTCAAAGAGTTTCTGTAGCAGTTAAATGAAATGATACATGTGACAAGCGTGGGGCGTTGCTGGCCCTCAGCAAGGGCTCAGCACTGTGGCAATCACTGCCCCCTGAGCACCCTCGATGTCCATCTCTTCCCAAGTCCATGGTCAGTGACCTCATGTTGGTAACAAAATTGGCCACAGTGGGAGTGTTGACACCATAGAAATGGCAGAGGCTACAATAAGGACTCCCCACCCTGCCCCCAGTGCTGGTTGTTAAATATTGACCAGCAGGCCACTGCCCCGGCACCAAATGGTGTTAAGGATATAGGAAGCCCTGCTGACTGATGAACTAATGAAACTTAATTCATTCAACAAGTAGCAATCACAAATCACGTCAGCTAGTGCTTGTTGAGAACATGCTAGTGCCAGGCACTGGGCCAAGCATTCCATTCTTCGCTTTGTGTAACAACTCTGTGCCATCTACACTCCACTTACAGTAACACAGGCTCCCAAAGAGGAGTCCCAAAGAGGAGTCACCGTCTTGCCCTACTGCCTGTATGGTCTGAGTGTGCTCAAGTCCATCCTCAGATCCAGAGGGGGGCCCTGACTGGCCCAAGCCAATCCGCATACCCCACTCCTGGCCACTGTGATTGATTTAGTATTAGCCCTTTTCATAAAGGAGGAAGCTGAGCCTCGCAGAGGTGAAGCTGCTTCCCCAGGGTGCTCTGCACACTCTCTTCTCCACAGAGGACTGGGGAGGAAGCAGCTCTTCTCAGGGCAGTCGCTGAGGCCTGGCCTGTGGCTTTCCTTGTAGTGCACACCAGGGGCTAAAAATCTCCTCTACGCCCACCCACATTCCTGAAAAAGGACATGGGAAGTAGAAATACATTCCAATCAGGAAGGTTCCTTGCTGGGGGCGGGGGCTTCCTGGTGCAGCCTTTCTAATGCAGAGCAGAGACTCAGCCTTGGCATCAGGGCTCACCTCCCACCTCTGCCCAGGGCAGGCTCTCTGCTCCTGGCGGCTGCGATCCAGCCAGTTGGGCGGCTCTGGGCAAAGCCTCGACCTCTTTAGGCCTCACACACCTAACCAGTAGAAATCAGAAATGAGACTGCAAATGTGGCTTTTACTTTAATTTTCCATACACTCCACTTACAGTAACATGGGCTCCGAAAGTTCCTTTGAGGAGTCGCCCTCCTGCTCTTCTGCCTGTATGGTCTGGGTGTGCTCAAGTCCATCCTCAGATCCAGAGGAGGGCCCTGACTGGCCCAAGCCAATCCGCATACTCCACTCCTGGCCACTATGATTGACTCAGAGGCTGCCTGGGACCCAGTCCCAGCCAATGAAAGTCAGGCCCAGGACATCAGTGCAATCATTAGGGGCATGAACCCCTGCTTTCCACCAGATCAGAAGCTGAGAAAACGTAAGAGCAGGAGCTGCAGCAGCCACTTCACGGGCATGATGGGTGTGGAATGGAATGAAATCAGCACAAAGGGAAAGAGAGAAGCCAGACCCAGCCGCAGATTGGCTTTTCCAGGGATGGGGAATGGGAAGAAAAAAAGGGCAGATAGTGAGAGAATGAGGGAGGGGCACCTCTGCTGGGAACTGGATGAATGTGTTCGCTTGAAAGTTATGGGGCCACCATGTTTCTACGAGGTAGACAGCCAAAGTCAAGACCGAGAGCAAGAGGGAGACACAGAATGAATGGATGGTGCACAGAGGAAAAAGGAAACCACAGAGGCAAGAAGGAGGCGAGCCAGCATCCAGTCCCTGGCTCCAACATCTGCTGACACAGCCCTGTGTCCTTATCCTATCGCCCCCTACACCCACCCTTCTTCCCTAAGCCAGTGGTTCTCAACTTGATTGTGCAACAGAATGCTGGCAAAGCTTCTGGAAACACAAATTGCTGGGCCCCACCCCGGGAGCTCTGATTCGGTAGCTCTGGGATAGAGCTGAGAATGTGCATTTGTAGCACGTTTTCAAGTGACACGGATGCTGCTGGTCAGGGCATCACACCCGGAGAACCACTGGCACAAGCCCACCCACACGGGCCCTGGGGTCTGGGGAAAGCTGCTAGAGAGGGAGGGTGTCCTTCCGCCAGTGCCCGTTTCCCCCAGGTCTCCAGGGGAGCTTCCCCAGGCTGGCAAGGGAGGTGGTGGGCAGGAAGCAGCACTGTCCCTTCCCTCTGCATCTCCCCTCCGTCTCATCCTCTCCCCTCCCATCCCCTTTCATCCTTTCCCAGCCCCTCAGGTCCTCTCCCAACCCCAGACACAGCCAGTATCCATCCTGGGGCTGTTTTTCCCAGATTCCTCTGCCCTCCCTGACAACACCCATGCAGGAGGCAGTGTTCAAACAGGTACAGGAAGCAGAGGAGGGTGCCAACCAGGACACAGGGGGTGCCAGCCAGTCAAAGAGCACCGGCTGAAAGGCAGCCAGCCCCGGTGGGGCACAGCGCCCCCTGCAGCCTGCCCAGCAGGGGATAGGCCGGTGGGTTTGAGCGCAGCTACTCCTGAGCGCCCCCCGCCGCTCCCCGCCACTGTGCTGTCTCCACACCAGCTTTGATG